ACTGAGGTCGTAGTTAGCTCTCCTTGGAATTAAGATTTTAAAAAATTATGGAGCTCTCGTTTTTAGAGATTTTATTTATGTCACTTTTTATAAACAAACTTTTACCCCTTCTTTTCCTCTGATAATAGTACCTCCTATTTTTTAATGCTTCATTTTTACTTGATCCTAACAAATGCTAAGGAGTAGGAGAGTTTTGTCCAGTCATTGCAAAGGGCAAGTTAAAGCACAGAGACCTCAGTGTTGTTTAGTGGTTTAATATTTATTGAACACATCTGTTTGCTAAGCATGTTACAGGTATTAGTCTGTGCAGGTAGGACAGTTTCTCCAATCATTACAAACAGGAAGTTAAAGCACAGAGACTCTCAGTGTTTATGTGCTAAGCACTTCACAGGTGTTATTCCATGGAGTCTTCACAGCACTGGGATGAGAGGTGGATTTTGCCATCAGCATTTTATGGATAAAACCATTGAAGCTTGAGGAGGTTAAGCCTAGGGTGATAGGCTTATAAATTATAGTTTATTGCCCAAACTGGACATGTGTGCTTGTGAAAGTGGTTGCTATTATGGGTTACTCCAGGACAGCAGGGGCTAGCTAGGACTATGCTCAGCAAGCCAGGACGCATGGTTGTCATCTGCAAGTCACTAGCCCCTGTTTACTGGGCTGCACCTGAGTGCTCGGCCTTCTGCCCCCACTGCACTCTTGCCTCACTTGTCTAGAGCATCTCATCCCTGTGAGCCTGGGCTCCTTTGTTCTGCATTCCTGCCCCATTTCAGCGTGTCCTGAAAGTCAGCGTTTCACTGCTTGCTGGCTCAGGCTCCTCCGTGACTCCCATTTGCCAGCCCATCACCACGAGGCACACTCCTTCCTGCTGTGCCACAGCGGCTGCCTTTGTGGAGGCAGACTGCACGTGCTGGTGGCAGTGGTGTGAGCACTCTAGTCTCATGGTTGGAGCTGCTCATTTGCTGATTCAAGAGGATGATCCAGTCTTTACCTCTAAGTCACCTGCAGCCCACTTGGAGTTCTTTGTGAATGGGGAGGGAGTGTGGAGTGGGAGCCAATTTAGAAAGGAACCTTGCAGTGGAGGGACTGGTTAGTCCTAGTCTGGAGAAGGTTAAGCCTTTCACTTGGGGTGAGGGGGAGGTATGACAGATTTGATCCGTTTGCCAGGGAGGAAGACGCAAGGTGAGTGGACACTGCCTGATGGCCTCTGGTTTCTCTGTGACGTGCACTCCCTACGGGCAGTGCAGGGCGAGGCGATGGGTGGAGGACTCGAGAAGGTGGGGTGTGGGGTAGGGGATGTGGAAGGTAGTTGGGAGAAGGATTTGGGATCATTGTGGAGGTCTTATTCCTGCCCCATCCCTCTCTTTAGCCTGCTCTTTGGTTGTGTGTGCACTCGTGTGTGTGTGTGTGTATGTGTGTGTGTGTGTATCTCATTATCTGATAGACATCAATATTGGAGTTAGCCAAAGGGATAATCTCATTGCTTGGGACACATAACTCTTTAACAGTCTTCTTAAAGATACAGTCCAAGAATGTTTATGTGTTAGTGACCTTGATATAAATCACAGATGGCTTTGCACTGTAGACACCGTGTGAACAGGGTGTCTAGATGATCTCGTTTCCATCTAGCTCTAAAACTCTGCCATTCTGCATATTCATAACTTAGTTTGTAAAAACATTTCAAAGATACAAATTGTATTTCTTTAGAAATAATCTATAATTGGGCTTCTCATCACACTGTTCTCTGCTCCCTATGTGAGCCGAGTTTGCGGTTGGCTCTGTAGTATCTGCTCTCTCACCGAGACACGGGACGATCTTTCTTAGCTGCCTATAGCATTAACCCATCCTTGTCAAGTAAAACACTGTCTTAGACATTTTCTTTTATATTCTTCTAAAATGTTAGACATTAGGCATAAAGAACATTTGTGTCACTTTGCGACATGTTTAACGTCCTTTTTACTTGATCAGCCCCGAAGTGTAGTGCTTCCCGTGTGCCAGCCCTGCTCAGAGCACTTACAAATACTAACTCCTGTACTCCTCATGGTGACCCCATGAGGCAGGGTCTGTAGTTTTCATCTCTGTTTTACAGATAAGGAAACTGAAGGGCAGAGAGGGAGGCTAAGTAACCTGCTCAAATCACACAGCTAGTGGTGGCCGAGTCACACTCCCTCTCAGGAGTGTGGCTCTGGCATCTGTCTCCTCTGCCACCTCTCCCAACAGTTTCCAGTGCACCGCATGCCGTGGCGCTTACTAGCAAAGACTGGGACCTGAGTGGGGGGGGGGTGTCTCTCTCCCTCCCCTTCTTCCCCTTTCTCTCCCCACCCCATGCACAAGCATACCAATTTTTCAGAATCATGGAGCAACTAAATTAATATTTTGACTCACACTCAGAATTCTCTGGCACATAGGTGTTTATTAAAAGTAGCTAATGAGAATACAGTTTTCTGTGAACGTACATAGTGCCTCCTTGGTGCTCAGAGGCATTGCGGAGGTTTGAAGCTGCCCACGTCACTTGTTGGCTGGTGCTGCACGACAGAAGGTGTCGGGAACCTTCCCTCTGCCACGCCCTGAGAGAGGAACAGTCCAAAACCAAAACAGAAAACTTATCCCTGGGGCCAAGAGCTTTTCTCGTGGAAAGATGCCAGTTATTTCATCGTTTTAGTGACATGGGGCTTCAGTTCAAGAGAAGTTTACATTCCACGAGTCTTGTAGTCCTAACAGTCAACAAATGACTTAATGACCAAATGGTATTTATTTTAAATTTTTGTTTTTTAATTTTAAAGAGATTTATTCTGAACCAAATATGAGGACCATGACCCGGAGCCACTGCCAAGAGACCTTGAGCTAGTGGACTCCTAAATTTTTTTTTTAAGGTAGGTGCTTCAGTTGTACCAAATGGTATTTAGAGTGATGAGACACCCTGAAACTAAAATCTTTATAACTGAATACTTAGAATTTTTATTCAGTTTGGAAATTGTTCAATAGTTTGAAAGCTGAGTTGTAGTCCCTGGGCTGGTTGCACAGTGCAGCAGGTTTTGAGTTAATCCTCTGACCCTTGGGGACTGGGCACACAGAGGGTGTTCCTGCCCCTTCTTAGCTCACAGAGGCAGTTCACGTGGTCTGTATTCCCACCCTGGCGCATCACGGCTCTCCTCTCCCTTACTTCATGGCTTGGGTTTTCCTCGGGAAACCATTCTTTGCAAGTCCCATCACATTTTAATCTGGAAGGAATTTGTGTCAGAGGAAATAATTGAAACCTCACAAGAAATAGAAGTGATATATTATTGGTTTTTTTCCTTCATTGTTTGGATTGTTAAAGTTATCTCATATCTCTAAAAATTCTTTAAAACTAGAAAAATACAATTACTGGATTTTTGTTTTAAACAGTACTTGTTGAGATTTTTTGTTCGCAGTAGATGCTATATTTGTAGGGAAATTTTCATAAGAACTTTTAGTTTGCCACCCACACTAATAGCCATTATTACAGCCTGAGTTTTTGCGACTTAAATGTGATTGCTACAAGAGCTTAAAAAGAGGAAGAGAGTTGTTTTTAATGCCTTTGGAGTGTTGTGATGGGGACGCTGTGATTACTTTGATAGATGTGAGAATGCCGTGTTGAAATTGACATTTGAGCTGTAACTTGGACTTTACACGCTCTCTGCGTGCCCTTTCCTAACACAGCACATGATAGCGTGGACCCCAGAAGGGAAGCCCGAGAACAAGCCGTAGCTTTTGAATTTCCTTTTGACCTGTATGCTATTTATGTCAAACCAGAGCTCGGGGAGGGTTAGGCTGCTGCAGTAGTGCAGTGCCCCCTGGCTGTGATTTAAGAAATTGAATACCCCGAAGTATCATTTATTGTGTAGTTTTGAGATAAGAGTCTATAACGTTATTCATGTATTTCTTGGGCTGATGAAGATTTTTATAATTTTGTTACAGAGGAAACCTTATTAAATGGGAAGTAAATTTTAAAGTATTGAACAGGGTATTTAGTCTAGTTAGCTTAAAGTCTTCTTCACTATATTCATAAACTGTATACCAAGGGTTTTGTTGGAAGTGGGCAGGTCAGGCATGCTATTTTAATTCCTAAGAGACTAGGTATTTTGTTGCTAAAAATGACACTTAGCATAGCATCAGGCATGTAGTTTGATTTTTTTTTTCCTAATTTGCTTTTGATCAAGAATTATCCGTATTGATATCTGTAACAATTGCTAAAAATCTACTTAGCATTCAACTAGTTGTCATCAGTGTATAATTTAAATTCTGTTTTCTTTACCAGTGCTTTGCAGAAGTAGTACTTATTCCTAAAGTTCTTCAGAGAGCTTTAAAATTTGTACAATTGTGGAAGAACCAAGTCATAAGACCACACAAGCACACTACCTAATGGGCATCCATTGGTTGTGATTTCAGAAGTATCAGATAATTGTCCCCTTTAAAATGTATTTTGTCCGTAACAAAGGAATACTTTTTCTTGTCTTTATAACTTCACCTGCTGAAATCCAAGCAGGTAAGCCAGGAGATTCTAAATTAACGTTGCCTGCATTTTCTGTGGCCTCCAAATCAGCTGTACCCCAGGAGTAAAGCAAATGAGCACACTGGACGCTTGCCTTGCTCTTACCAGCATGAAACCAGGACACGCCTCAATCACAGGCTTTTGTTAGTACATCCATGTTTCACACGGGCCCCGGGCGGGTGATTTTTATGGATTCTGAAACACATTCTTTGACGCTCGATCACAAGAACTTGCTGTACCCCTGGCATGGGAGGCTTGGGACCGGGAGTAGTGGTGTGGTGACAGCGTATATGGAAGGGCGAGGAATTTCATTTTCTGGATAGCGTTTTTGTGCCGTTCTTGTTCTTGGTGGTGGCGTTGGCCCTTCTTGCTAAGACGTCTTTCCTCTGTGGTCTGACTGCAAGGTAAGGGGGTGATGTGTCTTGAAAGAATTTGGAACCCTGTCTAATTAATTACCTTTTTTTTTTTTTTTGACATTGTTTTCTAGCATCCTCCAGGACAAATAGCAAGGAAATACAGCTCCTGCTCCACTATTTTCCTAGATGATAGCACAGTCAGTCAGCCAAACCTCAAGTATACAATTAAATGGTGGGTATACAGATTTTTTTTTTTTTTTTTTGCTTTACTGAATGTTTTCTCTGTTCCTTAACCTGGTGGCTAAGCTGGTTGGTTGTGGGGTCTCAGAGTTGGTAAGATGGGATGTGGGGGGCACTGACAATTCAAGAAATCTTTTTAAAAAGTGATTTTCGGTAGTTAAAATATGGGGTGTTCAAAATATTTATGCAGATTACACAAAAAGACCAGAATTTTAAATTATTTTAAATGTAGATTACTCAAAATATATTTTCAATTTCTGTGCATACTTTCTAACCTATCACTTTTTACTGAAGCCGTCCTGGTATAAGTCTGCTAATATTTTACCTTCTAAGTAAAACAAGGCTCCTATGTTCCCAGTTAATACCCAGGGCTGCAGGGGAAAGGCCACCTGTGTAGTGAGTGTCCTTGCCTGGGTCTGGAGGTCTGAGTTCTGACCTTGACCCTCTCGCCGCCAGGGAGGCTTTGGGTAGGTCCCTTCTCTGTGGGCCTTTGGTTCCATATTTTAAAGTTGAGTTTGAGAGAGCGAGCAAAGGGAGTCTTTGGATAAAATTCTTCCCTTTTGGAGGCTTCAGTTTCCTTATTTTAAGAGGGAGGGAGCACTGGTGTTTCCTTTAATGTCCCCCCCGCCCCCATGTGGTAATAACAGCCCTTAGCAGGGACGACCGAGAACTTGATGTGCTGGGGTCTGTCTGTGGTCAGCAGCTCAGCTGTGCACACAGCTGGCCACATCATCCACGCTCCTGGGCCTCAGAGGCTCAGAGGACAGCCAATGCCCGTGGCGTCCCTGTGCAGGGCTCAGGCCCTCCTCGCTACTAGAACCTACCACCTCTTGATCCGTACAGGCCTCAGGACTGCCGCATGCTTTGCTGATTGTGCTCTAGGTGAGAAGGAAGACAAGTGCAATGCCAACAATCACAAGTCCATTTCGTTTTCTTGGGCAAGAACGTAGCATTTTCTTCTTCCCAGCCATGTGGCAAAAGCAGCCGAGCAAAGCCTTCAGTGCAGATGTATTTCCGAACTCTGATTTGGCTCCAGCCCATGCTTGGTGACAACTCACGTTTTCTGAAGACGTGGCAGAGCGGGCCAGGCCTCCGAGGCCGGGCACTTGGAGTGCAAGGTCCTGCGGTTCCCCTGCTTCCTTTCTATGTCCCGACTGCTCTGTGGCCCAGCAGACTGGGATTTGTAAGGGTGGTAAGAGCTGAGTCATACTTGGTGGGTCTGGCTAGCCGCTTTCAGTAGAACCCAAAGATGTCCTTAGCCACTTGGCTGGTAAGATTGTGGGATAGGGTGGTGGGTGGTTCTGTCTGGAGGTGAGGCAGAAATAACTAGCAGTGTGACAGCACACCCCTCCATCAGACGGTGCCTACACGGCACTCCCAGAGATTGTTCCCCGACAGACTGGGCCATCCTAGCCTGTAGGGAAGGCTGCCCAGGTGAGGGGGAGGTGCCTGGGGGCCCTGCACGTTGGAAGATGACCAAAGAGTCACAGGCTTTGTTGTGCAAATTGACAGCAAGGTTGACAAGGTTGACAGCCCTGCTTGTCAGGGGTCCGATAATGCCACTGTCACAGCCAGCATGTGCAGTGAGCTCCTAAAGGCTGCTTCCCATCATAGGTCCCCTGGCAGGGGCTCCTGCATGTGACACGGGACAAGCAGAAACCGTGGGCAGTACAGCTATGGTTACAAGTGCTGCAGAGACAAGGGGACCTGAAAAAAGACCAAAATAAACAACAAAATGGGTATGGAGGAGTCAGATATGACAAGATCTTTTAAACAGGCACAGAAAATATAAGACTTACCCAATAGAGTTTTAAAATAGACTTTAAAAAGCCCTAAAGCTGCAGTAGCAGAACAGCTCAGCATACCTCTAGAAGCAAAAGAGCCAGGGAGAAAAGACCACAGCCCTTCCCGTGAGGAGGAGATCGATTTTCCTGCAGTGTAGGGCCAGTCGGGGCAACAGAGGCCTCATGTGAAAACAGCGATTCACTGGTTCCCTGGGAACAAGGTGGCTCTGGTGGCTGCAGGGGCTGACAGTACTCTGATGCGTGGCAATCCTGGGGCCCCTTAGACATAGATGGATACAGAGCTACATTCGCCTTTCAGACAGTCATATCTGTTACGAATTAGACATGCTCCACCCACCCTACAGTGGGCCTGTATCTCCCCAGTCCCAAAAAACATTTTGGGGAGAGATACTGTCCTGGGAGCTGCCCTTAAGACAACCTAGAGAGATTCCATCTCTGGGCTAGGCTGGTAAGAGCCATCCTCAGAGGGGAGGTTATATGAGAGTCAAGGTATTGCCCTGCCCAAGGTAGAAAGTATATATCAAACCGTATCGTCTCCCAGGAAGACACAGAAAGGAAATGGCTACTATTCAAAACCGGACAGGGTGAGGATCATGTTTCCTGCACAGAACCATACTGCAGTTCTGTCTGGCTAATGCAAAAACCCGACATACCTGAAAGGCGATGATTGATTTCCAGAGACTAAGGGTCTCCAGCCACACATGCTGCTCTCCCAAATGGGATTCAGATATTAGAAGACTAATTACTTGTTTGGGCATATGGCATACTGTCCTAGATGTAATAAACACTTTCTTTAATATCCCTTTAGATCCAAAGTCCCAGGACATGTTTGCTTTTACCTGAGAGGTCAACAGTAGACCTTGTAGGTACCCCCCCAGGGTACTTCCATAGCCCCACTGTCTCTGCCATGGCTCGATGGCCAGAGACTTGGCTGTTCTGGGTGATATGCCCAGTATTCACTGGGAATATTATTTAGATAATATTTTACTAACTTCTGCAGATTGGAGTCTTTTACAAAAGGCTACTGAAAAGATTCTAAGACACCTACAATCCAGAGGATGGGTTGTCAACCGACTAAGTCCAGGGACCAGGGGACACTATAAAATTACTGGAAATGGTCTAGTCAGGTAAGACTCAGGTTTTACCAACAGCCGTAATGGACAAAACACAGGCACACCCATGATCCCAAGCAGTTAAAAATTACTGACTTTTGTAGGTCTACTAGGATATTAAAGGACTTTCATTCCCACTTGGCCCAGCGTCTCAGGCCATTGCACTGCCTAATAGAAAAGGGGCACATAGGGACAGAGATTTGCTTTGGGGTTGATTCCAGCCTTAGGTTCGACAAGATAGAACATGGATCGAGGCCTGAAGCCGAGGACTGATTCAGTTGTCAGCTGAGCCTGCCTTTTCCCCAGCAATTGCTTCCATCAAGACGACTGGCTAAACTGGCCAGTGGAGCTGTGCCGTGCCTGAGTGTCCACTCGGTGTTCTCACTCTGCAGATGTACCTGGAGTGGACATTGGCGTAGAGGGTGGCTTTGATGTCTCCTGGAGGACTTAGGCCATGATAAAGTCGGAGCTCGTCTTTGGCTTGGGAGACAGTGATCTTGGGGCCTCAGTCTACAGAAGACCCCTTGATAGGGCCATAGCAGTAACTTCCATTGTAGAAGTTTATATTTGAGATAATTCTTTTATATATTTGATTTCCTTTGATCCCAATACCATTTCTGTGATGTGGGTTATGTTATTATCCTAATTTCATAGGTAGATGAGGAAGGGAAGGCTGCAAGCTGTGAGGCAGGTTTGGAAGCCAGGCTGGTCTGGCTCCAATCCAGTGACATTTATCCTGTGCTGCTTCACCCAGGCAGGGGACCATTTTCTTTCTCAATCAAAAGTATTAAACTAATCACTACGCTGAACCCGATCATACGAAACATTTAATTTAAATTTGACATTAGATTAGAAAAGCAGTCATCATCGCGTGACTCTTAAATGAATAAAACAGTAATTTCTCCCCTCTTCCCAGAGAGAGCATGGTGTAGAACAAAGAGCACAATGCCTTTATATAAGTCAGACATCCTGATAATCTGCTGTCTGAACCTGAAATTTTTGATTTTTAAAATAGAATCAGTAACATCTAGTGTTTTTCTTTTACAGAGCTATTAACATGAAAACACTTGGCAAAACCTTATTTTTTTTTTTAATTCTGAAGCCCTTTCACTGGAGTTAGAATCCCTTCATCAGCTTAGATGCTTTTCAGGATGTTAGGGGGAAAATGAGGAATTACCACTTACTACCTCACAAGTACTTTTAACACTTAGCTGAAGTTGTTTGAATGAAGCAATGTGGAAAGGGAGGTTTGGAAGAATGCATGTTTTGTGATCGAGTGAGATTAGCTACTGTCATGTGAAGTCACAGGGAAACGTCTGAGCTCTTTGGAAGGCAAGGGGCAGGCCCACGGCTGCCAGCTGGTGCGGCCCAGTGGGCGGAAATGTTTGGGCTGAGTTGTCTGTCTGTAGGTTGGTGCCCTGGGTAGCAGTTTCTGCGCTCAGAACGAGGACACAGTCAGAGACAGCCAGTCAGCTGTGTTCTTGGAAACTTAAAAAATAATTTTTGGCCTCAGTAAATTTTAATGTAAAACAAAAATAGTGGAAGGATCTAGACAGCTTTTAAAAGGGGAACATTTTAAAAGTTGGCTCGTCAAACCGTGTGAACTTAACAGGGGATTAAAGAAACTCAAATTGAACAAAGGGAAACTTTTTGACCTATCCAGTCAGAGGACACTTTGTTAAAACATTTAAGGTCAGTCTTGGCCAGTGTGAGGTGAAACGGACACTGATGGGGAAGTACGCAGGTGTAGTCTTTGTGCAAAGATGATTGGCAGTATGTGTTGGGAGCCTTACTGTTGTTATGACTTTAATTACAATTACAGGATGTTTTCTTATGGAAATAATATAGTCATAGGTTGCACAAAGATTTGTGAAGATGTTCATTATGGTGTTAATTATAATTGCAAAATATTAGAAAACCTAAGTGTTCAATTGTAGGGAAAAATGGTTAAGTAAATCACTCAACCATATGATGGAATATATTCAGCCATTTAAAATCATGTTTTTGAATATTTTAATGATCAGAAAAAATGGCAACATAATAGGATGCAAACCTCTTTGTTTACACATATACAACTATTTCTACCTATAAATTATATCTCAAGCTAATTATCTTTGGGCAGAGGGATTATTTTTCTTTATACTTGCTATATTTTCCAAAATTTCTACAATGAATGTTATGTTTTTCTAGGCAGAAAAACATTATTTAAAAAAAATTCATGAGAAGGGAATGTAATTGTTCATTAAGTGCAGATCTTTTAAAATGTAAAATAAAGAATTTAAGGTAGTGCCGTAAATAAAAGTTACAGTACCACTTCAGCATGTGAAAATGAATAACTTGAGCAGATTGCCAAGAGATTATTGATTTAAGAGAAAAAACAGCAAACCACTTTGGGTGATAGTCACATTTTTTTGGTAGTTATAAAGAAACCACTGATCTTCTAAACTAGTAGGTAATGAGTTGAAGATTTCTAAAGGTGTTTAATTTATACCGCTTGTTTTTTATATCGTGCCTGTATTTTACAAGCGAGGAAAGCTTTAAATTTCTAAATAGAGCAGTTTGTCTCCGAATATTCCTTGAAGTTTTGTTGTTCCTAGAAAAGATTTAATTCCTGGGAATGAATACTATGTAGATTTAGTTAGAAGAGTACATTTTCTTGATCAGCATTCTGAATGGCATACGGCTGTTCAGGTGGATTATTAGGCTTTTAATTATTTTTAAATATTTATGTTCAAACTGGTGTCAGATAATATATGGAATCTTGGATATGCTTATGAAACATTGAACTTCTGCATTTTATTTTACAGTGTAGCTCTTGCAATATATTACCACATCAAAAACAGGTATGTGGATGATTAATTTTATGCTAAAAAAAATCACACATTATTTTCTGTTTTTCCTGTTTTTCTCCTATTATGTTTTAGTTGCCTCAACCTTTGAATTTTATGTTATTACTATTTTCATAGAATTTCTAAAGGTAGTAATAATTTACCAAAACTTCCCAGGTAAGTTCCGAACTGCTTCTGAATCAAAGGGTTTTTGTGGCTGAAACCAGCAAAACAGAACAAAGCTCCTTAATGATGATCAGCTTCGTCTTCATTCTGTATTTTCTGTATAGTTTGTTTAAGCATTCTGTCTTTTATATAAAGTATTATTTAAAAAGTTTGCTGTGTGCAATTTCACATGAAAAATGTTTATAGTCTGAATTTAGTAGGAGAAATATTGGTATAAATTTAGACATAAACTGTTTTTGTGTCGTAGAAGCCTCTCTCTGATAGCAGTATGTCTGCCAATAGTTCAGTTAATTTAAAAAGTCTGTTAAAACAGACAATCCAAAACAGTCTACCTTAAACATTTTATTTCAATGTAAAACACGTAAGAATACATTCATTTGCCAATTTTTTTGTGTGCAGCATCATGACATTTGCTTCAGGCATGGGACATTGATCAGAGAACCAAAGTCTTTCTTTTATAAGCCACACCTATAATTCATTGTTTCCAGATTGGGGTTTTTTTTTTCCCCCTCCCAATAGCAAGAAAACTTAGGGACATTTACAAAACAGTGAGTGTAGAAGTCTTTCAGGTTTTGACCACACCTGAAATCTACAGCAAATTTATTTTTTTGGGATTTCATTTTATTCGGTCTTTCCAAAGCATCCTTCTTAGTTTGCATAAGAAAAAAGCCACTTTCACGGTAGTCGTACTGCATGGATTAATGTGATGTTTCTGTATGTTATACGAGCATAGTAAGTACAACTGGTTTGTGAACTAGTTTGGGAACAAGCAGAGCTGCTGCAGGGAAAGCAACCTAGACGGAAGCCCCCCGCTTCATGTGTTCTCAGAGTGGGGAGAGAGTTGGGCTAAGTTAGTGCAAGGGAGGTTGGATGACAGCTTCTGACTAATAGTGTTATGGGAAGACACAAATGCGTAGAAGCAGACACCAGGAAAGGTATTCTCTGTAATGACCTATTTCCATATCGTAATGGTGCTTGAGATGTTTAGATTTTTAAGAATTCACAAACAGTATAATTTAGGAACTCTAAATCTTGAACCAGAATAACATAGCAGTGAAAATGCAGATTTTGTCCTGTTGCTTATTTCTGTGATCCTGGTTCAAACTTTTCAAGCATTTAAGCCTTAAGTTACAATGTAATAGCATTAATGAAACTCAGATGTGCTTTCAAGCCAGGTTTGGGTTAGAATCTCTGTATTTCTCAGCTCTTAGACCGTCATGGATCCTGAAGTTAATTTAGCTATAGCTGATGATAATAGCAGCCAGTTTTATTAGGTGGTTTGTCTGACTCCTCTGGTCAGTTCTTTATATGCATTATCTGATTTAGTTTTAATAACTCTTTGAGGTGATACTATATTATCTCCATTTTATAGATAAAGAAATTGCACACAGATTATACAACTAGGAAATTAGAGACTTGGGAATTGAACACAACTACCACCTACATCTTTAATCCTGTTGCTCTCCTAGATTAAGGTGATAAATTAGGCTAAAAGTGAGTGAGTGAGTGGAAGTGGAGAAAGTCCAACTGAAAAATTGGAGCATTTGTAAACAAGCATGATTAATTGACAGATTGTAGCCTGAGGGTCTGTAGGGAGGAGGTGGCAGGACTGTCGCAGACCTTCGGAATAAATCACTCGGGGAGACCTTTGGAGGTGGTGACAGATCCTCGGTGGGGGTGGCGCTGCTCACCTGAGACCGAGCTTTCGGTGGAAGTAAGGAAGCAATCTCCTTCCCAGAGGATTCTCCAGAATCCTTTTCCCAGCGTCATTTTAGCTCAAGTTCTTAATCTTCATTTATATTTTTAGCCTCTGTTCTCATTTTTAAAATTACTTCTGGTGAATGTTTCTCTAGAGTGCCGGATGGCTTTTCAGGGGCTCTCATTTCCCGGGAAAACTGAACAGGGCTCAATTGCCTGAGGAAATAGGGTGCAGGGCCAGCCTCTGTGTCCTGTGCTGCATAGCGAGTGCCTTATGGGGGCTGTAAATGAGGTGCGGGACCAGCCGATTCTTCATAGCTGGGGTCACAATCAAAGCAAGTTTAACCAGGTGCACCCAGAAGGAGCTGTCCTTATGCGCTCAGGCTGTGCCATGTGGGCAAACCTTTCTTTCACTTAGGTTTATCTGTGCATTTGTTGTGTTCATGAAGGCAAGTGTAAGTGAGCACAGGTATGATAACCCAGCGCTTTAAAAGCAATTCCTATTGTGCAAATTTAGGAATGAAAGATGAACTGTTTTGTTAAGCTCTTTCTTTCTCTTTTGTTTGTATGCAGACAAACAATAAATTTATAAAGCAGAAATTGTAGTGTTTGTCACTACAATTGATGAGTGTGTGACAGGGACAGGTCTGTCTGTAGCCTTTGGATGTTCTGAAGCCGTAACCATGGAAATTATACATGGTTACCCCAAAGCAGTGGTTTCCAAATTTGGTTTTTAAAGAAATTTTAGGTAAAACTCAACAGATGAAAGTGGAGCGGTCACTGGTGCAGATAGTTCCAGCAGCCGGAGCCACTGTGTTCACAGTGAACGCCACCATGCCACCATGTTGGGTGGTTCTGTGCACGTCCCAGCCTGGTAATAGCCAGCCAGTCTTCTATAGATTATTGCGTTAGTCTTTTCTACTTGTTGCTGCTTGTTTTTTGGTATCAAATTGTGAAACTCTTAATGAAATAGTCAAGTTGCATGTTGTAAACATTTCCACCTGATCCCTGGGACATCGTGAACGTCTATTCTTACCCTCAGACTTCTTTCCTGTCAGCCACGCACGATATGGCAGTGATGGTTTAAGCTGATCTGTCGACCTTTGCTCAGAAATAAGATGTTAAAAGAAATGTAAGTCATTTGCTTAGATTTGGTTCATGTGAAAACTCAGAGAATGGAATTGAGGTTTTTTTTTTTTTTTTTTTTTTCTTCAACTAAATGTGGTTTATAACCTTCATTTCCATGGACTATTCAAACAAAAATGATTAAATATTGTACCCAAGAAAGACAAATCATTATTTGTGAATAACCAACAATAGCATCTCTTACATTTAGCACTGACTTGTGTTTCTTGAAGTACAAAAGAATCAAAATATATTTTTGTTTTACTTAAGTGACACTTATTGTTACAGAAAGTAAACTCCATTTTCTATTATTTTCCCCACCAGGGACCCAGATGGAAGGATGCTCTTAGATATTTTTGATGAAAACCTTCACCCTCTTTCGGTAATCTCCTCCTTGTGTTTTATGAGATAATTTAATGATTTCTCTTGGGCTCCGGTCAGGTAACTAGTCATCTGTACATGTGTCCTTTCCTAGAAATCCGAAGTGCCACCAGATTATGACAAACACAACCCAGAGCAGAAGCAGATTTACCGGTTTGTTCGGACGTTGTTCAGTGCTGCTCAGCTGACGGCTGAATGTGCCATTGTCACCCTGGTGAGTGCCTGCAGGAGGGCCACCCCCACTCTCACCCCGACCCTGGTGGCCCTGGGCCTGTTTCTGTAGTCCAGTGGAGTGGGGTATGAGCAGGGATCCTGTCCAGGTGACCTGTAGAAACTATGGTGTGGCTTCACTGTTGTCTTTTGTTCTGGGAGAAGAGAATATGGATATCACAAAAGAGGATGTAAAATATGTTCCACTGTCCCCACCTAAGGTCATTCGTGAAATCATGCTCAAAACCAGTAAATGCTGAGCTGCTAAATGCAGGTAAGTAAAACAATTGGGCTAAAGGGGAGTAAGAAAGGCCAGGGTCACCCCATTACCGTCCAGGTTTCCTGTTGTTGATTCCCTACAAAGATTTTAATAACACTAATAAGATAGGTATTCATATATGATATAAGTGTTCATCATATCTAGGAAGTAGTGTGCATATTGCTGGCTTCTGTTTTATGATTTTTGTGTAAATGTGTCTAACATATTCAGAGACTACATGGAGGTAATCTGCATTTTAAGACTCAAGAGAAAAAAATTAAAATCTATTCTTAGATTTCTTAAAACTTTACGGACGATCTAGGTCAAATCTCATTTGGGAAATAGATTGAACAATGGGACCCATTGTCATCTTTTACATTGTGTGTAACTCAGATAAGAAATTAAGCTTTGCCTGTGCATGAGCTACCTGGTGATCAGAACACCATTCCCTGTCGTTTCTGAGAAGAGATGATTGTCTAATAAAAATTTTATGGGCGACCTATGGACTCTATGTATTTCTGCCACACTAAGAGATTCATGCTGTTAGATTAATTCGACAGTAAACCTGTTTGCCCATTCATTCATCTGTTCATCCATGTATTCATTTCTTTGCATTGAACTTGCAGCCTAAAGGGTAAAACAGTCAAGTAATCATTATGATTTGGAATGATGACAGGTTCTTGTGTTATAATTGAGAAGTGTAGCCTAGGTCTGTGGTAGGCTACAATATCTAGGTTTGTGTGAGTATATGCTAGAGTCCAGGCTGTTCACACAATGACAAAATTGCCTATCGACACATTTCTTAGAATGTATCCCTGCTGTTAAGCGACACACGGCTGTACTTGCAAATTGTTCACCAGCAAAGCCCTTAGAGACTCAGCACCAAGGTGTGTATTGTGAGCTGGTCAGAGAGACACCCTCTGCTTAGCACATACCAAACTTCCAGTAGGAAAGCAGGTTGAGCTTAAACTACCTTGTTTGTGTAAACGGTGTTGGCACAAAGAGCCACTCTTATTCATTCTGGGAGTGGTGGGAGCCCTCCGGAAGTGGAAGTTCCCAGGTGCCAGCTGAGAGGCAGCCTCGGAAGCAGTCATTCTAGGGACGACAGCCTCAGACCTGCCGTGCTCACTCTTTTCTGCACACTGTGCCGTTCTGGTCTTTCTCTCCTGCATAATGTTTTTAGGTAGGTGATTGGGATCAACCCTGGCCTGCAAAAGTGTACCCTCAGAGGGCAGAGAGGGTTGTTCCTTAGTGTGTGTTCATGTGCATGTGCACTCAGTAACATTTGAAATTTACTTTGTGGCCAGCCCTTGCCATGTAGAAATGTGGGACTGGGGTCTTCCATGTTCAAAGCGAAGCTGGAAACTCAGACTTAATTTTTTGAAAGCTCCCAGTTGTTTAATGTTAGCTCAGATTTTTGAAAAGAACCTTCAAGCCAAATAAAACCTGTGTACGTGCAACATCCAGCCTGTGGACTGCTGGTTCTGCCTTAGGCAGTAGGGAGCCATCGAGGCTTTCAGACAGGTGTATCAGTTTCCTAGGGCAGCTGTAACAAAGTAGCACAAAATGGCTTACACACCAAAAATTTATGGTCTCACAGTTCTGGAGGCCAGAAGCCCCAAATAAAGATGCTGGCAGGGTTGGTTCCCTCTGAGGGCTGCAAGGGAAGGGTCTGCTCAGATCTCTCTGCTTGGCTTGTGGATGTGCATCTTCATGCTCACGGTGTATGAGATGGCTATCTGGAATTAGGGTGTAATTGAGAAGGGAATGAAGCCACCAACTCTTCCCACAACGTCTTGACCTTATACCCTTGCCTTCAGCCCTGGAACATGCTCTAATGATGTAAGCCAAATAGCACTAAGACAGCAGGATTAAAATAATAGCTTGTATGGATTCAGACAATTAACTGACCTAGCATTATTCTTTAAAGTCAGGTTGGAATAATCTCAGCATCATTGGGATTTTGTTTACATATATCCTTGATTCCATGAGTTTGCGTTTTATCCCCTTTTAAATGTCTTTGAACAGTTACGTGCAATCAGCTGAACGCTCTTTGCAGCTCTGTAATTGCTCATTAGCCTGTATTTTCTAGAGACTTCTTAGGAGAGTCCTCATGCATTTAAATCGGAAAATTTAATTGAGCAAAAGTGACAAATTAGCAATGGTCTAAGGACTCTGTTTAGAAAAATCAATTGTATATTATTTTACTTGGCAGAGAATTAAAATACCTAAGTGGGAGTTTACTAAAGAAATTGCAGCTGACCCTTGAATATAGCTTTATTGGCAAGTTCTGCTAAATTACATGCTATTAAGTAGAGCTTATTATGAATGCCTTATCTCCCTACATAATAACTGCTTTCCCTCCGTCATGGGGTGTGTTGTAATGTCTGATTCCTTCAGTTAGCACTAATGGAATATCACGCCTGATAGATGATTGTTGGTTTTTCCCCTAAATATTAAATATGATCTGGTGTATTAATGTCTATCAACTAAGGTAATTTGAGTCAGAAGAAAATCCTGCCACCTTTTTGCATGAAGCCAGTGAGAATCTGTTTCCATGGAGAGCAGAACCTTCAGGATCCGAGTAAAGATTGCTTCAGTGCCTTTCTGTTGATTTAAAAGATCTAGAAGCTTGGTTGGGCAGTTTAAGCTTTCTGCTCTCAGTGCAATTTTATTGTACATTTTCTGATTCTCTCTTTGGTGGGGAGTGAGAAGAGTTGGTCGTCAGCCTCTGAAATGTGCAGTCTGGGGGCCTAAGGTCAGTTCTCAGCCGGGATTCCACTTGGCCTCATCTGGATCTTCATCTAAAGAAAAATCATGAGCTAAAACATTAGCTACTTTTTCTGCTCAAATTTAATGTAATATATACCATAAAACACTAAAATCTCCAAAAATTGATAAGGTTATTAAGCTCTACCGAGTGACCTACTTTTTCCCCACCAAGAGTTGTCTCACCCAAATGCTATTTATTGTTCAGTGAAAGATATTTGGAGACGCCATTGGAGGTCTTTGCCGTGCAGTCAGAATGCCATGCTTCAGGGCTTCCTGCGTCTTATTTGAATGTCTCTTTGACTTCCTTTGCTCGGCACAGCAGAGGGACTCTTTCTGCCTGGAGCTGCCTCCTCTGAACTTCATTGTTCACTGCTGCACTGGTCTCACAAACCAAGGACTCAGGATATATATATATATATATATATATATATATATATATACACATATATATATATATATAATTTTATTTCAGCATATTATAGGGGTACAAATTTTAAGGTTACATATAATGCCCTTGCCCCCTTTCCCCCTCAAGTCAGCTTCAAGCGTGACCATCCCCCAGATGGTGCACATCTCACTCATTGTGTATGTATATACCCGCCCCCTCCCCCTTCCCACCTGCCCAGTACCAGATAAATGTAATTCCTGTATGTCCACTCAGGTGCTGATCAGTTAATATCAATTTGCTGGTGAGTACATGTGGTGCTGGTTTTTCCATTCTTGGGATACTTCACTTAGTAGAATGGGTTCCAGCTCTATCCAGGAAAATACAAGAGGTGCTAGATCACCATTGTTTCTAATTCACTGTGCTTTTGTCAGTGCAGTTTTCCTGAATGCCATAATTTGTGGTCATTTTACTCGTAAAGTCCCTCTCATAGTCCTGCAGAACACCCCCTGTACTAGAAATCTACCTCCTTGGAATGTAGCTGCATTCCAAGAGCCAGCGTGGGCTCCTGTGTTGTCCTTTGTTCATGCCTGCAGGACCGTGTGGCCATTCTCTTCCACCTGAGCCTTTTTTGGGGCATTTTGTAATATTTAAGACTTTATAGGCACTGTATACTATGAATAATTATAATACTATCTCTTTTAGGAAGCAAGTTCTTAAAGTATGGATGATATCTGTTTAGTTTCATTTCTTTCTGAGGTGTAGTAGTTTCATTTGGCAAATGTATTTGATAAAAATCATAAAAATAGGCCGGGCGCGGTGGCTCACGCCTGTAATCCTAGCACTTTGGGAGGCCGAGGCGGGCGGATAGCTCAAGGTCAGGAGTTCAAAACCAGCCTGAGCGAGACCCCGTCTCTACCAAAAATAGAAAGAAATTAATTGACCAACTAAAAATATATATACAAAAAATTAGCCGGGCATGGTGGCGCATGCCTGTAGTCCCAGCTACTCGGGAGGCTGAGGCAGGAGGATCGCTGAGCCCAGGAGATTGAGGTTGCTGTGAGCCAGGCTGACGCCACGGCACTCACTCGAGCCTGGGCAACAAAGTGAGACTCTGTCTCAAAAAAAAAAAAAAAAAAAAAATCATAAAAATAACTTCTAGTACTTCAGGCGGTCGAGGCAGGAAGATTGCTTGAGGTCAGGAGTTCAGGACCAGCTTGAGCAAGATCAAGACCCCGTCTCTACTAAAAATAGAAAAAGTTAGCCGGGCATGGTGGCACATGCCTGTAGTCCCAGCTACTCGAGAGGCTGAGGCAGGAGGATCGCTTGAGCCCAGGAGTTTTTGAGGTTGCAGTGAGCTAAGCTGATGCTACAGCTCTCTAGCCCAGGCACCAAAGTGAAAGCTCTGTCTCAAAAAATAACTTCCTTATGGTTCAGAGAAGCATAAAACTTTCTAATAAACATGTTTTCATGACCAGAAACTATGAAAGGCATTCTTACCTATGACTCAACTTAAGCCATGGGCTTTGTGGATGTGTCTGATGTCTGTCTTCGAACTAAATTCTGCCAACTTAGAAAGCCTATGTCATTTGGATTTTATTTTCCAAGTTCAGTCAAAATGCTTTCATTCTATCTAAACTTCAGTTTGGGAAGATGAACAAGTTCGGGACACAGGTGGTGATTGTGTAACAGTGTGAATGTACCTAATGCCACTGAGCTGTACACTTAGAAATGGCTAAATGGTAAATTTTATGTTGTGTATATTTCACCACAATAATAGAGGTTTATCAACACTTGGACGTAAATCTGTAGTTATTAACATCTCAAAATACAAACGTTAAGTAAAAAAAAAAAACACAGACACAAACAAAAGTTAGGCTTATTCCCTTCACATTGTCTGTTCTCTTTGTTGGATATTTGTCAAATGTGTATTAATGTCGTGGTTGCCAGAGTGAGAAATGGGCCTGGGGCTCCTGGAATTTGTTCCTGCCCAGAGTCTAAGACCCAGCCACACCCACATTGTCCATTATGAAGAGTGAGCGTTAGCCCATTTCTCATCGGACTCGTCGAGCTGTTTGGCCTTTTAAAAATAAATACAACCAGGTAGTAAATCCCTGTTGAAAGGCTGCTGAAAAGGAATCGAACAAGTTTAGCGCTTCCATAAGTATGCTAGCGTGACAGAGGAAACAAGTTATTTAGCTCTGGCGTTGTCCTGTCTGCCCAGGTATACCTTGAAAGACTGTTAACGTACGCAGAGATAGACATCTGTCCGGCCAACTGGAAGCGCATCGTGTTAGGGGCGATCCTGCTGGCCTCCAAGGTGTGGGACGACCAGGCTGTGTGGAATGTGGATTACTGCCAGATCCTGAAGGACATCACGGTGGAGGACATGTGAGTGGGGTCGGGGGCGAGGGGGACTGTTGGGAAGGAAGCCACGGCCCTTTTTGCATGGTCTGCCTGGTACCGAGTGGATGCACTTGACTGAACGTCCGTCGTGAGCTGGCCCAGCAGCGGCACGGTTGTGAAATGCTGTGTGCAGAAGCCTGTGTTTCTCTCCCTTGTGGATCGTGAATGGGTACTGGTGATGCTTTGTGGCTTTGCGAAACTGGCTTACTGAAAATGTTAACAGGCAGGCAGCCCTTGACTTTAATCAGAAAGGCGTGGGCCGGTGCTACCACCAGCCTGAGGGGTTGGTATTTGGGCTCCGTGTCTCACTGCAGACTGATAACTGCAAGGCAGCCCCATATGCAGGCAATGGGCCTAGCCGGAACAGTACAAGAGCTGAAATGTCACCTGTCTGTTTAGTTTCAGGGAGAAAATTTTCACTGCTTTGTCATGTTTTGCAAGTTCATTTCTTAAAATGAGCCTTGTGTCCCTGGGACCCTCATGTGTCATCATCGTCAGGGCTGCATGTTCTCCCCCAGCTCGGGGCAGTGGCATAAACCTGGGGGTGCTGAGTGCTGTCCCCGTCCTATAGCAATCAGGGCAGTGGCAGGGTTGCTCAGAGAGCTCAGTCTCCACATTTAGGTGAGGATTATAGGAAGATCTGCAAACTGTCTTCTGGGAATGCAGTAAATGGATTCAGAGCCTCTTAGGAAGGAGGAGTTGTAGCAACATTCAGCCTGAACTACTCATGGCTCCCTGTGGCTTATAGTGACTTCCGACGTTGTTCTTGCTAAAATTTTTCTCATTTTTTTTTTTTTTTTTGTCTGGCGTATCTCCTTGAGAAAGCTGTAGCCTATGTCCCAATCCATGTCCCTGCACCCAGTAATCCTGGGGCTGTAGGATCTTCACATGCCTGTGACTACCACGGGGCGGGGGGGTACCCTTGTTTACATGCTCTTAGCGTGCAGGGCCTGTCCCTGCTGCGGATCTATGAAACTCCTGCCCGTGTCTATATGAAGTAAGAAAAACGTAAGTTTTTGATCAGAACTATAAACAAGGTGCTAAAATAGTTGCCATTCAGACCATAAAGGAGGTAGACGTTTGGGTGCAAGGTGTGAGAAGTTCTGGCCTATTTTCTTTACTGGGGGTTATTCTTTAATCAGCTCCCTGATGTCATTTGACACTGAACTGCATGTCACGGGAATGACTTCCTGGCCGCACTTCCCTGTTTGTGTCAGTTAGGTGACATATGAACAGTGACTCAGTGTGGGTGGTGGTACCAGGCTCTGAGAGAGGCGCAGGGGGGCCCTGCCACGAGTACTCGTGTCCACTTAAAGTCAGACTTTTTAGATCCAAAGTATTTTTAAAATTTGTATCCCAGCTATTTCCAAAAACAAATGCAATACAAAGCAAGTAACAGATACCACAGAAGTAGGGAAACAAAAGGGAACAGATAAAAGGGTGACGAGTATTACAGGAGGGAAGGAGATACTGTTTTGTGCATCCACCAGGTTTAACGTGCCCAAATGGCAGCAACACCGAATTTCCGTGTAACCTTAGGATCTATGGACAATCCTTTCAGTTCATTGAAAACTTTGATGAACCGTGTAACAAGGTATTTGTTGTCAGCAGTGTTCAGGCACCAGATCTGGACGCGGAGGCCAGAGAGGTTCCATGGTGTTCCAGGAAAATGTTTAGCAACCAAGTGGGGATCCTTAGCCTCCTGAGTAGCTGGGACTACAGGCATGCACCACCTGTAGTCCCAGCTACTTGGGAGGCTGAGGCAGCAGGATTGCTTGAGCCCTGAAGTTTGAGGTTGCCGTGAGCTAGGCTGACGCCACGGCACTCACTCTAGCCTGGGCAACAAAGTGAGACCCTGTCTCCAAAAAAAAAAAAAAATTTTATATATATATATATATGAAATTGTATTTTCCAAGTACAAAGTAGTAATAGTTGCTTTATTGAATGAAGCTGCTGCTTTATTCATTAATATTTTGAAAGCACCAACACTATGGTTAGTGTAGTAATAGTATTCATGAATAATTCTGTTCCACATTTTGTCCAAAGGATTGATCATTTCTTTAGCCTGATTTTAGTCCCATTCTTGACAGCCATTGATGACCAGCCTGCCCCAGTTGCCTGCGGCTGGGAAGAAGGCATAAAGGAAGACCTTGTGTTTCCTAAAAGGTCCAATTGTAAAGTTTTCCTGGAGAAACTCTGAAGCACCTGGCAGCACAGCAGGGTGACTTGTGCTCCTCCCCTGTCTCTGCAGAGCTCTGGAGAATGAAGGGCCCGAGTCAGGCCAAGGGTGACTCTGGCAGGCCGAGTCCTTGCATATTTGTTCCATCATTTGTCTTGAGAGCCACTGTGACCCGTTTATAAAGTCCTCTTCACACTGTGCTGATACATACTAACATACTACGTATGTTCTCCTAAGAAGAGGTGATCAGACAGTTGCACATATGGAAATCTGGGAAGGAATATACAAGGCTTCCCCCTGCCAAAAGATAGAAGGAAGCAGGATTGTTTCTAGGAGGGAATATTAGCCAAAAGGATGCTTTTGAACCCATGTTTACAATGCCTGGCTAGACAGAGGTGTGCTCAGTTATGTTTACGTATCTGTTTGGAGGTATGTGCCAGGTGGCCACAACAGCAGAGATGTTTACACATCTTGGCATGTCCATCCCCAGAAAAATTTTGGAAAATTTTACATCCTGTGGTTTTAAGTTGACATTTAAGATTTGTCATAAGTTTCAGTCATTGCAAAGCACATCATTTGTACTATATTTGATAGTATTTTAAAGTTAAAAGTTTGCTTTGGAGACTGAATACCATATAATATGATGCCCTTAATTATCCATCTTCTTAGAGGTGGAAATTTTATATTGTTCCTTTTTCTCCTTGAATTCATCCTTTCCAGCTTCTTCCCACATTATTTTTTTCCCTCAAATTCTGTGTAAGAAAAATGTACATGCAGGTTAAAACTATGGTATTATCTTCTGGACTGTAAGGTTCTGACTTATTAAAAACATCTTCAGGTCTGAGTTATTAGTACATTATTAGTACATAGTTGATCAAAACAATGTAAACAAATTTCAATATAAATAATACAACCTTATGGAAAATATCTAATGAGATCAGATGTTTTTGTGTATCATTATTACAGAAAGAAACAAAGGTTGGCATCAGTTTTTATTCCTACTTTTCTTTAACATAAGAGTTGAGAAAGTATGTTCATCTAAGTAGGTGAAATTGCAAGTTTTGTTCTAACACCGGCTACTAGTGGTCACTCATCACGTTCAGCTTTGAACAACAAATGACAATTGGTGTGGACAGGAAAGGGACGTGGAAATTTAATTGAGCAGAATTCTGCAGGCAAAAATGCTGTAAAAAAATTACACTTTGGGGTTTTTCTTTGGTTTTGCAATAATCCTATAAGGGTCATTTTCGTATGTAGACAGAAATCCCAAAAGAGGAGCCAAGTGACTTGTCTGAGGGTGGCACGGCAGATATGTACACAGACTGAGGACCTCGGTCTCTCCACAGATGCCTGGAGTCTGGTTTTGTTGTTTTGTTTTCTTGAGAATTGTGATTAGAATATACATGGTGTAAGTTTTACCATCTTAACCATTTTTAAGTGTTCAGTTCTGTGGCATTCAGTACACTCACATTGTTGGGCACCCATCTTCAAAACTTTCATTTTCCTGAACTGAAACTGTCTCCACTAAACACTAACTCCCCATTCCCCATCCCTGGCAGCCACCATTCTACTTCTATGAATTTGACGACTTACACAAGTAGAATCATGCGGTTTTTGGTTTTGGTTTTGTGTGTGTGTGTGTGCGTGTGACTGGCTTATTTCACATGTCCTTAAGGTTTATCCATGTTGTAGCATTTAATAATTTCCTTCCTTTTTAAGGCTTTTTAATCGTTCGGTGTATGTATATATCCATTCATCCATGGACACATGGGTTGCTTCCACATTGAGCTAGTGTGAGTAATGCTGTGGACATGGCCGTACAGCTGTCTCTTCAAGACCGTTTTTTCAGTTCTCTTGGGTGCATACCAGGCAGGCAATTGCTAGATTGGTGCCTGGGTTTTGAAGTGAGCCCAGTTTTCTAGGAAAGTAGGCAGGATATTAGATGATGAAAATGACTCTCTCTACTCCATTTTAGAATCCTATTTTCAAGGTGCTACATTGCACCAATTCAGTTGGATTTTGGCTCACTGTGGATCTAATGTAGCAACTACTTCTGAAATGTGGTTTTTTGCTTATAGAGTTGACTGTATTTCTTAGTTTTACACCAGAGCTGTTTCCTCATGATTATCCAAATGAGGGAAATAAATCCATCAAGCCCATTCTGTGCATCACCGTTAGTTATCTGATAATTTATCATGTAGCAGGCTAGCTGTCAGATGTCCGTTTAAGACATGGCTGTTGCAGTTTGGAAATTCAAATTTTGGAAACTTTTATTTTCTAAATCTTGTCTTCGTTTGAGAGCATAACGGCTCTGAAATCCCCGTTTCCCCCAAAGGTTAACCAGAAACATGCAAGAAACTCAAGTGTGACTGTTTTCCAAGGGTCCCTGGGAAGATCCCACCTTGTTCAGAGGCAGATTTCTCTTGACTTTACTCCGTGTATGTTTTCAGCTGGAGTCATAGGTGTCTGTGTGCCATTTGGGACAGGATTATCAGACTGGTTCTCTTATGATATTAAGATTTTCTTCTTGGCACTGGGAGAATGTGCCCTGCAGTGATGCCTTTTGGCCACCAGACGGCGATGTGCCCACGGGCAGTGCCTCGTTCGCCCAGGTTGCTGCTGCTGGCCTTGGCACTATTTTTGACACTTGCTTCAAGGAAATCAGTATTTAAAGTAAAAATTATCCCAAATAAAAGTAATTTAAATTCTTTAAAAATATAAACTTCAGCAGAATATATATTTAAATTACATTTGAAGCTTGTTAACACTTTCACTGGACCAGGTAGAGACAACCAGCAAGTTGTACTGTTTATCTGATTAAAAGATCTGCATGTGGCCTTTGTCAGCAAGTCGCAGAGTTTCATAGTTCTCACTGGTGCCCCATCCCTCACGGCAGCACGGGGCTGGGGCTGAGTCCCCCTCAGTCTCCAGTAGCTCAGTGAAGCGACTGATAACAGGTGATAACAGGACTGGGGACAGGGCAGTGCCACCTTGGTTTGAGGCCAGGAGAATCGGGGCACATGTGTGTCCGGGTTACAACTGGGACACCCAGTGTTCAGTGGCATTGGAGTGCGGTTCAGACGCGGAGGCTGGGGGCTGGGACCAGGCTCGTCCGTGCTCAGCCTCACTCACGGGAATTGGTGACCACTGTGTTGTCCACCCCATGGCAGGCTCAGGGTGGTGGGAGTAGGCCCACTCTGCCGGACACCTCAGCCTTGCTCCTCTGCCCGAGCGCCACACTTTCCTGAGCTTAGTTCGTCTCTCCCATGGGAGGCCTTCCAGCAGGTTCTGTGCCACAGGCCAGGCATGTAAAAGCAGATGTCTCAGTTCCCGGATGGAGGAGGCAAGCAGGAAGGACTGGGCTGAGCCAGCAGTTGCAGCTCTGTGTGATAAAGGGCAGGGGCAGACGCCTGAATGAGGATGGGGCTGCGGCAGCGGCTCTGAAGCCAAGTGCCCAGTCCGGGGACTGGCACCGCACAGACAGTTCCATCACGGAGGGCCCTGCCCCAGGTACTAACGATCTAGAAATAAACGTACATAATTTGAAAGATAGTTGATTTGGGGGGGGGGGCTCTCAAAGTAGAAGTTGTGAAATTTATCCTGGTTCCTTCCCATCAGATGTGAGTGGGGTGGCAAGGTGGGATCCTGACACCTCCTCCACGGACCTGCCCTCTGGGTAGTTCTCAGAGGGGGGCTAGGGACCAGCAACCCAGCGTGGCTGCCACCTGGGGACTCCCTAGCAGTGCCATTTTTCAGGCCCCAGACCGCTGAGCCTGCAGGTCTGAGGGCGGCACCGGAGGTGTGTTTGACTAGCCCGCAGGTGACTCAGGGACACGCTGCTGCTCAGCCAGTTCCCTTTTTACGAGATGGGAGCTAGAGCTGGACAGCCCCCCCATACCTCCCTGGCCTTTTGCCTAAGAGAGCCCCTAACCAGTTCCTCCACCGTCCTCCCCGGGGTGGGGCAGGGTAGGGCCTTTGAGGAAGCCGAGCTCCTCTAGGCCTGTAGACGCCGGGTTTTCCTCTGGGCATCTTGGCTCGAGGCCCTCACCAGGCTGCACTTGACGGCTCCTGACTGCTCCATCCGCCCTTTGGAGTGACAGTCCATGCCGAGAGTGGCAGCCGGAGCCTGCTGTGTGTGTTGGGTTGCAGCGAAGTGAATCTCCCTGAAGCACTTCCTGGGGATCATCCCAATTAATCAGTGTTCATCCTTGCTGGGCACCGCATCAAGTGGATTCTGCTTTTAATTCCAATGTGGTGGTTACGCTGCAACACTGGTGTCCAGCTAGGCAATTAATGAGATCACTTTTCTCCCTGGAGGAGGCGGTCTCCAGCACCTCGCCTTGGCGGCCCACGCGGCTGGTGCGGCAGCTAAGCTATTCTCGTCTTCCTTTGCAGGAATGAGCTAGAGCGACAGTTTCTCGAATTGCTCCAGTTCAACATCAACGTTCCCTCCAGCGTCTATGCCAAGTATTATTTTGATCTCCGATCGCTGGCAGAAGCAAACAACCTGAGCTTCCCCTTGGAGCCCCTGAGCAGGGAGAGGGCGCACAAGCTTGAGGTACGGGCTTGCGACATTGTTTCCTGGTGTGCTGTGACATCATCTGAGCGCCACAGAACCGTGTGGTCTCTCACTGTGTGTTACAAAATAAGGACAAGCTACCCGGATTTAGTTCATTATAATCTGTATAACTTCATAGTTTTAATGTCAGTTTCAGTTTATACTTCATGTGCACTGATTGTTTTGAAATCAAAGATTATCTAAAACTGTTATTTTTTTTTTTTTTAGCAAGTAGTATACCTGGATAAAACTGTTATTCTTATAGAAAGGCTTTTAAAAAATGTATGTAAGCCCACCAAAAAAATATTTCCCAGCATGCACTTTTCTAGGAAAAAGCTACCAGATATTAATTGGGAATCCAAAAATAATCTGATTCTGCTTTGATATTTTTTTCTGTAGCTCATTTAGCACTGGGGCCACCCCAATGGTCTTGGCGGGGGTTCAGGGCCTTCGTTGTTAAGCTGTGTGGCTTTTGTGTGTCATCACAGCAAGTTTGTATGCAGCTTCATCTTCCCCTCAGTGACTTCTTAGGAGGAGGGCTGGGTGGGAGCTAATAAGCAGGATCACTTATGGGATCCCTGCTCCAGGGGTGTGCCCGAGGCCTTGGTCCCTTCTGCCCTAGACCCATCCCTGGGGCCATCTTGGTCTTGTCCCGTGGTGGACAGCACGGGTGTGTCCCCAGCTTGTGAGACCCAGGGGTCCTCTTGCTGCCTATGCCACTGACCAGCCCAGGTAGGTGTTGGCCCCTTGACGCAGGGCAGGATGGGGCAGTGTGGTGGCCTGCCCCTGCGTGGGAGAAGAGAGTTTAGGGTTTTTGCTTTCTGAAGCCTGCAACCCTTAACAAGATTTTGAAAAATGTTAATCCCAAGAAGGACACTTAGTACATGATGGCAACGAGACCCGCTCTGTCCTCATCACCGGAATGTCGATTATGCTGCCCTCTGTGATCCCTCCAGGGACCCTTCTTCAGCTATCTACCAAAGGTGACCTGAGCCCCTGATTAAGGGTACAAGGGCAGCTGCTCAGCTCTGACCCACGTGCACATGAGGACGACAGGGCATGTACATGGGGTCACGGCCCCTATGGGGCCCTAGCGGGGACCCCAAGTCTGCCTGACTCCCAGGCTACACTGTCCTGCAGTTAATTATTTCACATTAAGAGGTTCTTTTCTCAGTTGGTCCGTTAGCACTTGGGACACAGGGACTGTGTTGTGTCTACACTTCCGCCGAGCCCTGGGCCACGGGATGTGTGCTGCACAGGCGCAGGGCCTCGAGTGTCCTTGGTGCCTGCAGAGGGGGTCGGTGTAGACGGCGCGTGCTCCCACGTCTGGCCCTCACCCAGGTTGTCTCTGTCGCCCCCAGGCCATCTCTCGCCTCTGCGAGGACAAGTACAAGGACCTGAGGAGATCGACGCGGAAGCGCTCGGCCAGTGCCGACAACCTGAGCCTGCCCCGGTGGTCCCCGGCCATCATCTCCTAACGCGGAGGCCACGGCCCCGCGCTTTCTCCTTTAGTTTGAGAAGAGACAGACTTGGGGTGGGTTTGTTTTTGTTTTCTTCCTTTTCTTTTTAAACTCATAGCTCCGTCGGGCTGCCTCGGTGGCCGCCTCCACCGGCTGCGAGGGACGCAAGTCAGTATTCCGGACTCCGGTTTCCCCTCGCGGGGGCGGCAGACTCTGACCCTGGAGTAGAGGGAAGGGACGGCGTGGCCAGGCAGGGAAATGGCCGCCTGGCCCGGCCATGCCCAAAGTCCCCTACCCGGTCCGTAGAGGAGCGCGACGGCCACAGCGTAGGTGACAGAGTTGGACGTGCATTAAAGACAGTGCTGCCTTCCCACCCGGGTCAGTGTGTTCTGTGAGACTTCTTGCATTCCTTCTTGCTGCTTTTTCTGGGATTTGGGGGGGCGGGGGTTGTTGGTTGGCTTTTATCCTGTTTTGGTCTCGGTCCCACAGAGCAGAGAGCGCAGTTTGTCCCCACCACGGCACAGACATCCAAGTAAATAGCACCGGTTGTTGCCCTCCGCGCCATCTTGCGAGCCGCCTTCCTCCCCAGCGGGCTGTGCTTGTTGGGTTTCTGGGCACCTTTATTTTCCACATTTTCTTCTTCAACACTGGCAGAATTCACTTGACTGTAGTGCTCAACCAAAAGTATCCCCTTCCCCCTCAACTCCTCACCCCAAGAAAATTCTAGATTCCATGGGTGCTTGTGCCTTCCGATTTTCTTGCTGTTTTGGTGTGGTTTTTTTTTTTTTTTTCCTCCCCCTTTCTCTGACCTGAAGTTGGTGTTACAAACTCAGTCAGACTTTGTGGGCTGAAGGAAACAACGTGTGTGGCAAAGAGTATACCCAGGTTGGGAATTTTTCCAGAGTGCTGTTTCTTTGTACTCCCTGCCTAATCCATTCCTCTACTTCCAATGTCCATTGTTGCAAGCAATATTCTTCTCAATTTTTATATGTTTACTTTAAATCAAAGTTAGTCTATTTGTATAAAATTTTTTAAAAATCTAAAATTACAAAAAAAAAGGGTGGGTGGGTATTCTTGTGGGAAGATCATTCAAGGGAAAAATGTTACTATCTACTGAGGTATTTTTCACAGAATGATTGAATAAAAAAATTCAACTTGCATTTTCATTGTGGGTGCTTAGAGAAGTTCTAAAAAATTCAAACTGTGAAGGTTTTTCTGCTTCATTAGTTACGATCATACTTTCATTCTGACTCTTCCGATTTCCTTATGGGCTAGATAAGAATCTTTTACATCAAGTAAAATAAGAGTTATTGATAGAATATCAAATAGTAAATTTGATATTAAGTCTTAATGAGTCACACTTACAATGCTTTGGGTTTTTGCATATTTTCTTAGATCACAGTGACGGGTTTCTGAGTGTTTTCCTTTTTCAAATCTCTGAGGTGAATGGCACCAAATGATCTGTGTTTCACCTTTCTCCCATGTGAGCTTGGAACATTCTGGAATCTTAAATGAGTCTTGAGTATCTTAAAATCATATACTCGGTCCCCAGTCTTGCCTGCTCTTGATGAAACACACTTTGGAAATGGAAGGGACTTAGAATGTTAAAATCCCAAGAGCATCAAGCCAAAAGTGTTAGTCAGGTTTCGGTGAAATTCATGTCATATATAAACATGATTGTTTGGGCCAGAAATGTCACATTCTTTCTGGCCTAAACTTTCCGAAGCAAACAAGCAGAATATCAAAAGTTAATTATCTTTCCATTGCAATTGTGTTGATACTCTGGGTACCAAAATCAGCTTTCTCCCTTCAAGAGTTGAATTTAGAACTTTAAATACAAATCTAAAAATGTAGAAAATACCATTTTATATTCCCTAATCTATATAGCTTAAAAAGGGACGTATTTTCTTAGCTGAATATGAATACCTCTTAAACATAAATTAGTTCCTCTCATGTAAATTATCTTATTTTACTGATCCATTTCAGGAAAGAGGTTCTGCTGCCTTTATAGCAGAAATCTTATTTTTATCCCTTTTATTTGAATGAGAGATTTGAAAATTGAATTATGTAAATATTTCAATGCATCTGCCATTATTTTGTGGAGTTTATTAAACTACTTAAAAAAATTGTATAGTCTATTTATTGTATGTATGTACATACAGTCTGATACCTAAAATTTAAAGTGGATTCCGTAAAACCTGACTCATTCATGTTTAGACCTATTGAATATTGTTTTAGCCTTGTGCACTGGACTCTACCTCTGTATAGGAAAATTTTCCATATTAGTATTGATCTGTATTAATTGGTTATGTTTCTTGCACTAAGAATTTTTAAAACTCTGCTGTAAGTGTAGATTTTAGTTTTACTTTGGCAGTATGAATCAGTCAACACACAGGTAGATATACTTTAGGTTCATTTCATTTTATTTTTCTACATGATGACGAGTAGTTCTGTTTGTTCTGATTTGTTCTAAGTTTGCCAAAACAAAAAAACACACAACCAGTTCAGTACCTATTGACAAATCGTAGTGACTGTAATTTGTTTGCAAGGTGATTCAATGCCCTATTAAAGCTGGACTGCTGTTTAGGAACACACTGTCTTAGTGTAGTTTTTGATTGGAAAATTTTTGTCATTAATGAAGAAAAACCACAAAAATTGTTGTTTTAAGCCAAACCTACAGTCAACAAAGTCATTGGGACAATAAACATATGTCCCGATTTTTTTTTTTAAACTAGGAAAAGGGAAAGAAACTGGGTTTAAAATTGAATTGGAGGGCAGGGTGGGAAATTCTACCTGGAGCAGGATGCGTTCCCACGCCTTGGTGACGGGGAGGGGCCACCATAGTGTCTTCTCCGGGCTGTTGTCCCGTGTTCCTTCTCTCAGTTCCGGCAGGGACATCTTGGTGTTCCCCTGGTCCTGGGGATTTTGATCCTCAGCTGAGCTGCAAAGCAGAATTTAAGGAGTGAATGATTTTGATTTTTCCTGCTGCTTTTGGTAACTTCTCACCTGGGGCTATATTTTACACATTTGAATTTTTTTAGAAATAATGATTCCTGGTCATTGTAGGTATTTATTAATAATAAGTGTTAAATAAATACATACATAGAACGAATAGTGCTTGCCTTCCTGCTGCTTTCTTTGGGTGATTATATTGAGATAAAATTCAACAGGTCTTCGGATGCTGAGCACAGCAAGTCTTTGCAAGTGCCGTGGTAGAAAGTGCTGTTAGCCCTGTGAGTCTTGAGTGACTCAACCAGAGTATGACAGCTACTTAGAAACTTCCAGCAGTTGCATTGGTCGCACCACAGGGACCTGTTGATAGAGCCCATCATGATACCCAAAGTGATTTAAGATAAAATGATCTCCCTGACTTCATTGGATCAGTGTCTTGGATGGATCGTACAGACGTGGCTCGTCTTCTGAAAAGCCAACCGTGCCAAGCTCCTACCCTTGTGGAAAAAGAGAAAAACATAGGAAACACACCCTCCAGCTGAGGTGGGAAAAGGGCACTTAACTTGGGTTTTGTATCTTAAGCTCCAGGGAAGTCCATCCAGCACCTTCCATCGCGATACTGACGCGCTGTTGCTGAACGCAGAGCCTCACTGGAGCTGGTGACCCCCAGGACACACGATCCCCCCCCACAGGGAGTACTTGTAGTCACAGAAGTTGGTGGCATTTGGACCTCCAAGTCCACTGACTTCCTTCCCCGTTTTTCTGTTAGATTTTCTTACTAAGGGGCTAAAGGTCCTCAATGACACTTTCCATTAGAAACTTTGCTCTGGAGTTCAGTGACCAGCGCCGAAACCACCTGCGTTCACTCACCTGCCAAGTGACAAGAGTCGCAGAGGTCTGAGCTGTGCACCAGCACTGGGTGAGCATGTGTCCCGGCAGCTGCATCCGACCTCGGGAGGTTAGAAGATTCCTGCAGAAACTGAACAGTAAGAAATGCCCCCAAAGATGGTGTCTGACAGGTCTCCTATATGCTTGAGTGACTCGGTCAGAGTAAGGGGCTTTATTCCTTGAAAGAATTATTTTGTTTATATAAATAAGTTATTTCAACTGTGGGATAAAAGGATGGCACTCCGAAATACAGTTGGGGACAAAAATATCAGAGAACTTGATACATTATGTTAACACTGGTATTGGTCTATGGTGTCATGAAACCTTGGTGTTTAGTCTCAGTCCAAAATTGCTGTGTGACCTCAGACAATTGACTTCACCTCTCTGGACCTCTCAGTGAACTTGGCTGGAAGATATGCTCTCGCTAGTTTTTGCCACTTTTACCGTTTTCTGAGCGCACCCTGCTCAGCCATTGCGTCGTGATTATTGGACGTTCCTCTGCATCGATGTGAGGCTGGACCTGGTAAAAGATAAGTCCAAGATTGTGAGCTCCCCAAGGGGGAAATGGGTTTCCAGGCCCCCCTCCTAAAGAAGGGTGGCCATCTGTAGACACAATGGGGTCTCGTACAAGGGGCTTGGGTACCCACATTTCACCTGCTGTCCATCCTTCTGCAGGTTAAGTTGGGTGTATAAAACCACCCCACAGTGAATCCATCTTGAAAAGGGTGCTGGACACTGTCTACTCAATGTTGGGGGTTGATACAACGGAAATAGATGGTCTTTGCTTTCCCGGGGGAGGGGGGGTGCATGGCCAGTGAACAAGTTAGCATGTAAGTAGGAATGCGGTTAAGTGCCGTGAAGGAAATTGGGTGGCGTGGCGGTAACTAGGAGGGGCAGCTTGGTGGGCGTGGCCTTGGGAGCAGGGGTCTCCATGGAAGAGCTGAGAGATAGAAGGGACATGGTTGGGGCTAGGGTGGAGCTGCTCACCTGAGGCCTAGACGAGGAACACAGACTTGAAGAGCAGTGGGAAACTACTGAGAGTTTGCACTGTGCCACACGTGGTGGTTCTGGTATGTGGGGAATGGGTGTGGTACAGGAAGCCCAGCTCCTGCCTCTGTGGCCTCAAGCTCAAGGGAGGGAAGAGCCACGTGACCTTCACACTTTGGACATTGCCAAAGAACACCTGGCGTGTTCATGAGAGAATCTTCTCGAACAGCATTTCTTCTCGCAGGCATTGATGGCTTCTGCAGGCATTCAGTGCCATAGATCAGTATTTGAGTACCTTAAAACTCATGTGATTGCTATCAAGAAAATCTACAAGAAAACTACAAAATGATCAGTAAGATGGCAGTTTCAAGATCACTATGCAAAAACTGACAGCTTTCCAATTCATTAGCAATAACCAATTAGGGAATATAAATGGAGAAAAAAATGCCTTTCAAAATAGCAACACATTAAGCCAGGCATGGTGGCGCATGCCTATACACCCAGCTACTCAGGAGGCTGAGGCAGGAGGATCATTTGAGCCCAAGCGTTGGAGGCTGTAGTGAGCTATGACGACGCTGCTGCACTCCAGCCAGGGAGACATGGCAAGACTCTGTCTTTAAAAAAAAAAAAATGAAAATGGCTAAGTAGATTTCAAATGTTTTCACCACAAAAAAGAAAAATAAGTTTTGGAAGTGATAGATTTGTTCATTAGCTTGACTTAATCATTCTACTTTGTAAAAAATGAAAACATCACATTCTACCCCATAAATATCCACAGTTGTTATTTTGTCAAAAACAAAAGTTGAGCCATGTGGTAGCAGAGCTTGGGGTGTGTAGCTGTTGGATGATGGTAGGGAGAGATGAGTCTATAAAAATGTATGTGGGAGACTCCAGAAGTCAACTAAGGAAGTTTGAACAGTGTCATTCAATCAACAGATACTTGCCTTAAACATTTTTTTCCAGAAACAGTACTGACGTCTTAATATTTTGAGGCACTTGCAATTTTCAAAGCTTTCCTCTTAACTCCTTGGAAACTCCCTGATGCAGGCAGAGAGCAGATGTTCTCCCCGCCGCCTTCCAGATGCGCTGAAGTCCAGAAAGGCTAAGTGGCTTGGCAAACGTGGCATAGGCAGCAACTGACAGGTCTGCCAGCGAATCTCCAGCTGCCCCTCAAACCACAGAGCGAGGCAAATGACACCTGTCACATGAATCTCCAAGCGTGTCATCCTTGGAGAAGGGACAGCTGCAACACTTTTAGCTAAAAAAAAAAAAAAAAGTGTAAAAATGATTTATTCCTCTTCTGAGAAGAATATGCACATTTTCCCTCTATTAAGAGAGATTAGCAAAAATTAGGGCCTAAGACCTAAAATAAAGGTGTGAGGAGAACTTCA